GATTGGAGCATTAAACAACGAAATCTCATCTCCGAAAATTCGCATCTAAAAGCACGAAGCTCGTTCCATCAATCGTTCGTCTTTTTACGATTTACAAACAATTTTTACGTTTGATTGCATAATACTAAATAAACTGTATAAATCATTTTAATTTCGATATAAAATATTTAATTAGAATTTTATATTTTCGGAAAATATAAACTTTAAATCTATCAAAGATTCTATTCCTGATATAAAAATGAAACTGTTTATATATATATATATATATATATATATATATATATATATACAGGGTGTTCGGGAACTCCGGTGCCAACCGTTGAGGGGTTGTAGGGTAGGTGAAAATATGCAACTTTCATTAATAAACATGTGGTCTCCGACGACGCCTGTCGACGCCAGTAACTTTATTATTTTTCCTTCACAAAAAATGCAATCACAAAAGATGCTCGAAATGGCGACCTCCTAATTCAATGCAGGCATTACACCGCCGCACCATACTTTGCCGAACTCGTTCGAAAATGCCTGGTGTATGCTGGACGACCTCACAAGCATTGAAGATCTTCGCAGTCAGATCCTCTACTGTTTCTACAGGAGTGGCGTACACTAGGCTCTTTACATGACCCCAAAGGAAAAAATCCAGAGAAGTCAAGTCTGGGGAGCGAGGTGGCCATGCAACTGGATCTCCTTTGCCTATCCAGCGACCAGGGTAGGTTTGATCAAGATAGTCCCGCACTGCTCGGGAGAAATGGGCCGGCGCACCATCGTGCTGATACCACATCTGATTACGTACAAACAACATCACATCTTCGATTAACTCAGGCAGGGTTTCGCGGAGGAACTGCAAGTAATTGTTCCCGTTCAGGCGAGGTGGCAACACGAACGGGCCGATCAATTGATCACCTAAGATTGCAGCCCAAATGTTTACAGAAAACCGTTGCTGATGGGTCCTGATGTGTTTCGCGTGAGGATTCTCGTCATTCCAAAGATGGCTGTTACGGCTGTTGAAGAGGCCATCCTTTGTGAATTGCGCTTCGTCAGAGAACAAAACCATGCTACCAAAATGTGGATTGTCTACGAGGCGATTAAGGTACCACTGACAGAAATTCACACGAAGCGGGAAGTCAGCTGGGCCCATTGCTTGCACCTTCTGTAGATGGTAGGGGTGTAATTGTTGTTCGTGTACAATTTTCCAGACAGTATTGTGGGCGACTCCCATAGCATGGCCAATGGCGCGAGTGCTAGTGGACGGTTCATTTTCAAATCTTTCCAGAATATCCTCCTCAAAATCAACGGTCCGGACAAGTCTTCTTGCTCCGGTGTCTAATCTGTTCACCGTCATCGTTCCCAGTTCCCGCAAGCGACGATCGATGGCTGCAAATGTTTTCCGACAGGGGTGTCGCCGATTAGGAAATCTCTCACGGTAGATCCTTTCAGCAAGTCTTGTATTGCAGCGAGCCTCACCGAACACAAGATGCATGTCTGTCATCTCCGCAAATGTAAACATGTCGATTTAATTTCCGAAACAAAACGCTGAACTGAGATCAGTGTGGACTAGGCGTTCGCTGCTTTGCGTCGCAGAGATGCCAGTTTCGAGACGCTGCCACCACGAACACAAGGAAAGAGCCTCGTACGTGTGCGCAGGCGCCGCTGAGCGCGGAGCGCCATCTCTGCTTTGCAGTCGTGCATCGTTGACAGGCGTCGTCGGAGACTACATGTTTATTAATAAAAGTTGAATATTTTCACCTACCCTACAACCCCTCAACGGTTGGCACCGGAGTTCCCGAACACCCTGTATATATAAATATATATATATATATAAATATATATATATATATATATATATATATATATAAAAGCAAAATATTCTCATAATTGTATATCCTATTTCGTTGAGAATTAATGGAAATGAAAATTTAAGTATTACCCAAATAATATTTTACATTCTGTTCCTTTTATATATCATCAAGTCAAATATTATTTTATTAAGCTTACAAATTAATACGAGTATTGGAGATATATTAATCACGCAGATATAGAGAACTATCAAATGTAGACTTGCATTCGACCTCGAGTATCAGACACTAACAAAGGAAATAGTAAGAGCTAATGACAATAGAACATCGTACTCGACGTAACATTCATTATTACAATAATACATTACAATGACAACAATAACTATTGTAAGCCGATTGATTGTTACGCGAGAACCAATAATTACTTTAACTCACAGGCGCTATATTGACAATGAGACAAGATATACCAAGTTATGTTAAAAAAAACATATAATATACAATCGAATTATTGAAATTTTTTATATATATGTGTATATATATATAATTTTTCATAGAAATTAAATTTTACTCTTTATATGTGTTGATTTAAAAAATGGCTCGTTAAAAATCTTCCATGACAAACATTTGTTGCCTACATTTATTTAAAAAAAAGCATCACACATAAATATGTATCCTAAATCATCTCGCCTCTTTTTTCTCTTCATAAAGTTTCACGATGAAACAGCTGGATAAAGCACATATTCGTTCGGTTAACAGAAAATCAATATATTGCTCTGTAAACACACTATCAAAAGGATCACCGGAAGTTTGCGGCAACAAAATGCTGGCAAGAGAAGTGTCATTTTCCACATAAAGTCGTGGGAAAAATATCTCGTTATAAAAATGTAGAAACCTTTAATAAAATGCTTTTATATATGACGACAAAGATAAAATATGTCATGTGGAAATATAAAAGTGTAATCGTATATATTCAGCCTTATCGAATTTATATCTGCTATTTTAAAATCGTCCTACTTTCGTGCCAAAAATGTTGAATGTCAAAAGATTAATAAAGAATTGTCTTTCGTAACAATCATTCAAATAGTTTTCATTATAATAACGAGATAAACACGCGTATGTAACATTAAATAAATATATATTTATTTGTATTCACACGCGCTTCGCGCATGTTTGTCGCTGCAAAATGGAAATAAAAAATATAAAGTAAATGTTATTTACAAAGACTTTTTTTTTAAAGTGCACATTGTTAAATTTCCCGGAAAAAGAGATGAAAAATTATTTTATGTAATATATATTTTATATCATTCTTTAAATTCTTCAGTATAATATAATTGCAATATATTTCAATCGATAGAAATTGCATACACATGCAATTATATTAAAAAGTTTAAAAAATGATATAGACCATCATATTAAATTTTCTCCTATCTGAATAATTAATCTCACTCTTCGCATTTTATTTATTATTTATTAATTTTTAAAGAAATCTATATAAAAATAAATAATAAATAAATATGTACACAGCGTGATTAAATCTATAATTTATGTTAAAAAATGTGTTTTATTCAAATATATACCAAATTCTACTTAAAGTAAACATAAAAATTTATTACCCTATACGCTTGTTCTAAATCTTTCACTTTTTTATTCAAATGCGATATTTTCCAATACCATCTGCCTAATGAAAAGTATCTATAGTCCTCTTTTATATTAAATTATTTTAATTTATTTCACTTATTAGTTCCATTCAATCGCCTTAACACTAGAGGAATGCGTCAATTTCTGCATAAATAAAAAATTAATGTTTTAGCAGCTTTCATTTGTATACGATTATAGTTTTTAATTTTGCAATGAGAGATAAGAGAGAGCCTTTGTTATGATAGATGCAATCCTAGGATTTTCTTGCTTACTATTAGAGATCCGTTTCGATCCGCAAAACGTGATTCTCGATCGGCGCCGTTCTATACGATAAACCTCACCGAGGTAATGCGATACACTCGCTGTTTGCCAAGGGGAAGTGAAACGTGACGCAGGATATTGACGATTCCGTGTCACGTGCACGCACGCGTGACGCGGCCACGAAACTAATTCCCATCCGAAAGCCAACCCCAATCGATAGAAATATATCGCGGCTCAGCCCTTGATTGTTATCCCATCATCCCGCTGTGCATGGATCAAAGCCGCTCGACCAGAAGGAGGATATCAAATTATTCACCAAAATTTCAATTCATCCCGATATATCCGTCTCTATATCTATACACCATCTCGCTGATTGAATTCATTACGACGTATAATTAGCAGCAACTCGATACCTGTGTTTTCGAGTAATCCTCGGATAATTTGCAAAATACGGAAATACCTCCGAGATCATTGAACTCTTAATCCCTTTTACTCGTCTCGAGGCATGAAATGGTAATTTGCCTATTTGTTATTTTTTAATTGTCATATCAAAATATTTGTTGAAAATGCAGACACAGAGAATTTTCTGTTAAAATTTACTCTGAAAATCATGGTAACCGTAGAATAATATTGTAAGAATTGTATAAGAGATTAATATTTTTATTACAATAAAAAATAATATCTACCACGATAAGATATAAAATATGTTCGATTAAGTGTACTATAGTAAAATTTTCTATGTGCATATTAATATTTTTATTGTGATAAATAATCGCAAGAATTAGAGAAACTTTTATAAAATTCTTCCAATACCATATTGTTCCACGATTTTCAAAATAAACTCTAAGAGAAAATTCTCTCTGTGTATATAAACAAGTATTTCAATCATATCAATGATTTACTTCAATATTTCACGAATTTTTAATTACATGTATATTATTTTGCGATAATGTTGTAAAATTTTCAAACAACCTAGATTTATCTATCATCTAAATAAAAAAATAATGATCTTCAACAACCTACAATTTTACCGAATCAAATTAAATAATAACTTATCATGTGTACGTCCTAATTTTTCAAACATTCCTTCACGTCACTTGGACACAATAACACTTGTTCGAATAATTCTAAATAAATAATAGAAAAAGAGACATTTTAATTTGAACATCGTTAGTCGAAGAAATTAATTCCATATCCAGATGTGAAAATTTATCATCCGCCTGTCATCGCTTATCCGCGCACATTTTTGATAACATTGCTCCTCGCGCCTGCAAAACGAGTCATTAGGAATAATTTAAAGTTTCTCACCGGTCATCCTGAGTGACAGTAATGTCGGGCGGGGGCGGAGGGGGCGAGGCACCGTCTGTAGCATCCAGCTTGCCGGCTTTTTACTACGCTTTTGGCTTCTTTGAGAAGAGAGGGAGAGAGAGAGGAGCAACTCTTGACGAAGCGCGATCGAGTCTTCACGCCGACATAGCCGTCAAGATTGACCCCGTTGGAATCTCGCGGTCTTCTTATCGAGCACTCGAGTAAATCGCGTTCGTACACACCGCGTGCAACGACCTCGGTATCTCGTTGCACATCGATTTACTGTCTACTCCCTCGCTCGGATCTTATCTTCCTCGATTCGAGAGGATAAGAATCGCGTTAAAATCTACACCTGCTCCTTCTTCGTCCGCGTCCAAAGTCGTCGAACTGTGACTTGTCAATGATCACTATAAGACCTTCGATGAACTTTTGCAAAGTTTCTATCGCGACCCACTTCGCGCCGATTTTCTCTCTCTCGCTGTCAAATTTCGATTTCGCAAAATAACGGGACCGCGATCGCGTCTCGGTCGTGATATTTCGTCGCGAACCGTTATTCTCGCGCTATTATATAGATTTATCAGCAAGGAATATGCTGTGCCAGACACGTTACGTGCGAACCTTAGCTCCGGTGAAAGCGAACAACGGCTACGTTTATCGCGAGTAGGCACCAAGAACTCTCAGCTACGCTCGTCCTCTCTCGCGTAAACGCGGTCGCTCGAATACCAAACCGATTCGCGAGGTACTCGCCGAGATATACGTATTCGCCAGACGAGTTATTGCCTCTCCAGGTGCGCCGATCCTCGTAAAAGTGGTCGCGGTTCTGCGCAGTATAGTCCGAAATATTCGTGGGTCGACCACCGCTCTTCGATTACACACGGAAATGGATAAATCGATGCTCGAAGGGGCAAAAATTCTCCGATAAATCGATATTATCTCTCTCGCGACGTAATCTTCGACAGACACTGCCTCCGTCCGTCTAAATTCGTCGATTCGAACTGTACGAAAGACGCGAGCACAAATTGGATTATTTTTAATCCCGTGAACTCTTGAAAAGTTTCTATATCTCGAACCGGCGATAATGAGATTTTCTTCCCTTCTTTGTTGATTTTTTCCCGGATTTTTCCTCTATTCGTCGCAAAGCACTCTTGCTGCGGTGCAAAGAGACTGCAGAGGTGCACGCAGACTCGAAACGAGTTCTCGCTCGATCATCCACGCGCCGCTTTTCACGGCTGCCTTCGGCAATCACGGAAATGCTCTCTTTTTCAGCGTAATCCTGATAGTTTTAGCTCCGCTTCTAATGATGCGCCCGTTTGCGAGAATAAGTCTTTGGGGAAATCGAAAAATAACTTCTGGAAAAGCATGTGATTCTTGGAATCTAATCGAAGACGATTAGAGACGATGACAATGGGATTTTAATCCAATTAAGATAAACCACTGGCGAGAAGAGCTAAGCGTAATTAAGTCGCGTATGTATATTTTTTTATCTTTCATTCCAAATGTCAGTCTATCATAAAAAAGACGAGATTTCAACTTTCAATCAAGTTTCAACTTTCCCTTTATGACACAGAAATCATATATTCCGCGTAGATCGGCAACACATACAAAAAAAAGTCCAAAGAAGGCTCTTTGCAATTTCAACTCAACAATGCGATCTCTGTATAAAGTTGAATGCATTCAACGATGGCTTTCTCCTTCGCGATGGCAATATAGAATTGTGATGGTGAGCTGCTGGATTGAAGATGATTCCCAGCATTGGATAATCTTCTTAAACAAATGTCATCCACTCTTACTTCTCAGCAGCTGAAAGGAGACGCTGAAATATTTCTGCGTTTATTTCTCAACCGCAAAAACTGCATATATTACGTTCGTTCGAAGCAGATCTCAGCAGAAAGAGAAATAAAATTCCTCGAGAGAAATATATATATATATATATATATCTTTCCTTTATCTTCTTCTCTCCAGCCTAGCTTCCTCTCTTCCGAATATCTTTAATGCCAAGGTCTCACGGACATCTTCGGTTAATCGGATAATCGTTCTCGACGGAAATTATGCGTGATTCGCGACGCGTTTTACGCAACAAATCACGTTTCGTCTCCTCGAGGGCGATTACGTCACTTGTACGAATGGGAAGCGAGATTGCATCCGATTTATACGGGACGCCGGGAAGCGAGAGGATCCGCGAGGATTCGCGAGAGCGTGTTATTGTTGAAGCTGTCACTTTTGCCGGGCGAGCGGATGGAAAAAGAGTGCGCGCGAGGGAGCAAACATTCATTCGGATATATATCGAGATCAGACCGCGTAGCACCACCGATCCGCGAATCGATCCTCGATAGTACGCGTCTCGTATCGGCCCGATACCGCTGGTACCACTTGACGAATGAGGATCCCGATACCGTCCATCGCGCAGCTCCGAGTTTTCTCTCTTGCGGTTCTCGATTTATGCACGACGCGCGCGTTATTCCCTCCAGAGAGTGTAATCCTCCGGACTGGAAATCGCGAGATCGGAATGCGATTCCGCGGGTGCAGTCGCTATTAATCGCAACGCTCGCCGACCGTCACGGAACACTCGACAAGACTGGAGGTTCCCTCGATAGGTGAGGCCGACCTCTCTCTCTCTCTCTCTCTTTCTCTCTTTCTCTCTCGCGCGCACGCTGTCCAGGAGCGTACGCTCGCCATAGGCGAACCAAGTGGAATTTGTACCGTAATTTAAAAAAAAAAAATATATATATATATATATATGTATATATAAACGTGGATGTATGATTTTTTTCAATGATCGAATTTTTGCGATATCGAAATATGTATTACTGAGTTTTGTAACGATAACTATATAAAATAAAATTGTATACATAAAATTTGTCATGCTATTTTTATGACATTGTGATGATTCCAATAAATTCTTCATGAATATAGTATAGGTACATAGTCAACGTAATAATGATATTAATAATAATTAGAGACTGTCGCTATTTTAAATTGCTAATTGTGCATTGCGCGGCGCAGTTTATTCGATGTGACGTGCCAATTAAAAATGCGTCGTGCTATGCTCGCATTACGTGTTGTTTTTATATCAGTCGACTGATTCGAATTACGTTGATGTGACGTTATATATATATATATATATATATATAGCTATGTACATGCTTTATATTTGAGATGCACAGGATTTAACAGGCAAATCATAACGTTTTTCAGCAGCCAGTGATAGCAATGATAAGAAAGAAATTAATAGCAATTCAATTTGCATAAAATCAAATCCAAAGTCACAATAAAAGAGAAAAATGTATATATCTCGTATAGAATAAATCATATAATCTTTCGTTATAATTATCACAATTAGAACATTAATTTATTTAATACGAGAAACATAATATTATTATATAAAATTATATAAAATAAGACAGATATTTACAAGAAAAATTTCAAGTGTTGAAAAAAATAAGATATTTTATCCCATCTCTTTTTCTTATTATTTCTCAAGCAAATCAGATAAGTGTTGGTGGTGCATACAGCACTGCTATGTTAGCCTTTCTCTCCCTCTTTCTCTTTCTTTCTTTCGCCCTTTCTCTCTCCCTCTCTCTCTCTCTCCCTCTTTTTCTCTCTGTCTGTTCACTCTCTAATTCCGTCGCACCAGACGAGATGTATTCGCTTTAAGTAGGATGTCCTCTCCCTCCTTCTCCCTTGCTCTTCAACCCGACCGATCTCTCTTCTGCCATTTATACCGAAGTACCTCTCGGGCGAGTTCGTAAATTTTCGACAGAACCAACAAAGAGGGGAATAGCGAAATAAGGTGTTATAAAGCATGGAAGAAGGAGAGATAAGAAAAAATATAAAAGACATAAACAGAGATTAAGCAGCGAACATTAAAAATAAGGAGCAGGAAAGAATAGAAAAAAAACATAATGCAAAAAAAAAAAAAAGAAAATTATAATATAAATAATATAAAGACAAAGAAAAAGAAAATAACAACCGTTATGTATGCGCACAAAAACAATGAAGAATCAAAAGTTTGTGAAGCAACAATAGAGCGTATTGTACCTCAGAAGAGAGAAGATACCTAAACTCCTCTCCTTCAGACTACTTCATAGAGAAATAGAGATATCCATATCATATAAGGAAATAAAAGCTAACAATAAAAGATAAGAACAAAAAAAGATAAGACAATAAAAGGTAACAAGAGAACTGTCATTTCATCATCATAAAGGAACGAGAAACGGTGACACCGAAAATAAAGAGAGACTGATCCAGAAAGAGAGTGACGGAGAAAGGGCGAGGCATGGAAACGGTGAGAAAGAACTGATTCAGAACAACCAAGTGAGAGAGACGAGAAGAACTCGAGGGGAGAGAGAAAAAGGTTCTCCCACGTAACCACGCCCCACGTTCGCCGACAGATTTTTACATGCAGACTGACGATGGAAGGAAGGAAAGGAAGGCAACCCACGAGACGCCAGAGTATGGCCACCGGTTATACACCAGTATATATACAGTACCCTCTCTTTTCCCTGTCTCTCTCTATCCACCAGGTGAAAATACTACGGGACATCGTCCAGGATTTCCTCTTCTCGGAAATGCACCGCGATCTCGCGGACACGCTAGAGCTGCGTCGCGTCTGCTCTATCATCGAGGAGGGAATACAACAGGAAACGGGGCATTAAAAGGACCGTAGAGATTAATTTGTTGGAATAAAAGGCAGTGCGCGCTCTTTTTCATGATAGACCACGTCTCTGACGTCTACTCGTCTATATGCACACGAGACGCATGCAACGCGACCCGTTCCACCAAGCCGCAGCCGAGCGTGTGATGGCCGCGGATAATAAGCGCTCCACATTCCCTTTTTTCCGCGAGCGGCATTGCGCGCCAGTAAAGAGTCACCCGTCGTGTGTGTCTTCCGCTTAAACAGCTCTTTAAGCGGGAAGGGAAAAAAACAAAATAAAACATCGATTTAGTGTATATCGTAATCTGCCGTACGCGGAAGTTCCAGCTTCTTTTTAAACAATATAGGTATCGATTCCCAGACTTTGCGCCAGTCCTTATTATTCATCGGGTTTAAAATCCGAATTTTCTATACGACTTGCTTCTTTAAATATATAATTGGAGATTTTTTTTTTTTTTAATTTTTCTTATTTATTTTATAAATTTATAAAAAAAAATTTAGTCTCTTGAAATATATATATATATATAAAAATTCAATAATGTTTACCGTTTATCTGCATAAAAAAGGGAGAAGATTAATCTGCTTTCTTATAAATGCGAGGTCGCTGTCGCCTTGAATAAATAAAGGAAGCAAAAACTAAAAAAAAAGCATCCTTTGATTGATCCGCTTGCTATATCCTTGTAAAACAACGTGTACGATTAATGAGAATTTCCGCGTCTGAGAGAGAAAATTGTGACCGTAACCCTGACAGAGAGGCCAATTTATGATCGCTTTCAGTCTGCGGATGATATACAGCGTGTCCCGAAATAACGTCGCACGAATTACACAAGCATTAACTCATTTTAACTACCGTGTTACGTTATAATAAACACCCTTAATACTACATCATAAGCTTTTATTATAAACTTTACTTTCATTAAAACTGTTGTTGTTGTTGTTGAATTTAACGTGGGAAAATAATTAAGTAATGAAACGTGTCGCGTGTGTCTCTCTCGTGTAATAAAAATTTGAAACTACAAGAATGTGCAATGTAGATAACAATTTTAATCCAATATGTTACCCGTTTATCATTACATAACCGTAACTGAATAAACGTCGCAAAATTATTTTGTTGAGAAGTAGTTCTTCTACCTATCTTTCCTATACATCAAATTATTCAGATATAATTGTACATATCTAACTGCGAGTTCTGATAATTTCTCATTCATATATATTTCGATTAATTCATGCAAAATTCTATAGAAAGCAGTCTTGTGATTTAAAATAAGTATTTTTCTCGACAAACAGATTATTTGTCAATAAAGACAAAGGATCTTAAATTCGATCTTTTTTTCTCTTAAAGACTTTATTACACTGAAAAAGATGACTAAATTAATAAATATTTATTTCAATACTGCCGAAAAAATCATTTCTTTGATATTTCTTGATACAAATAAATATTAATTTATTTTGGAAAGAATTTTCTTATATCAAATACCTAAATATTTTTCACATCAAATCAATATTATTAGTTTTTTTTTGGAATTAAAATAAATACTTAATAAAATTGAATAAATTTTTTTCAGTGTAAAAATTTAAGAAAAAAATTCCAGCACACCCGGTATTCACACAATGCATGTATTCCGATCGATTTCCATCTCGACGGATTCTTCACGCAAAACACATTCGCTATGATATTGAAAAGTTAAAAAAAAGGGACAGCCGCGATATGTCGCATCGCTCTGGAAGGATGCCACGAGAAACGCATACGTGGCATATGCGGAAAAGATGCGGCCGCAATAAAATACGCGACCAGTTTGTACGCCACAAATGTCCATTTGTATACGCGGATATAGTATGGAAAATAGATCTTCCACGAAATGTTTTCCCATGCTCCCATTACATATCGGGTTACAAATGTCTCCGTTTTATGGAAATATTCCGTGAAATACGCGCGTAAAAATATCCGACCTTTCCTCTCTTTCGGCTTTCGCGCATAATTATGGGATTAGAGTTACGACGAGTAATTAAAAGGTTTCAGTTAAATGAGCATACATTAAGAGAAAGTTCGGCATATTTTACTTTCTCATATCTTTAACGTTTCGAAACTAAGGTCAGGAGGAAACAATGTGCGAGCAAGAAATAACGTTATTCCATACGGAACAAAAATTATTGTTCCGTGAGATAAAAATATACATATCCCTGTATCAAATCTATATATGATCCTACCTTGATCGGGGAAGAAACATGGATCCATCGATGAACACGGAACCGGAAAGAAGTATGTACCAACTTGTGGCCAATTCGCCAGTGCTGAAAAAATAATGCACCATTTTGATTTTCATTGAAGAAATTTAACCTAAATCAAATGTATTAAATCAAACAAGAAAGAATCTTACTTAAGTGATGTAAAGTCACATAAAGTGTGTTACTGTATAAGCGTATATCGAATACTCACTAAATATATAATAATTAATAATAAGAGTCGATTAATTTACTAATTACACGTTTAATTTCGCATTGAGAGAGCTCCTGCTTCTCACGAACGACTTTTTTCACGCGCGAAAATGCAATATGTGCTGACATCTTTGATATTATAACAAGTTCCAAGAAACTGCAAGTTACTCTGCAGTTTACTCTTCTGGTACACGAGAATATCGCGATTCGATAAGAAAAGTTTACTACATTATCAAGCTACCGATAAAGAAGATTTCTACTAGAGATTGAAATTACATCTTCTAAAGATATAAAATGCATTTGTTTCGCATGATACCATCGCAAAAAATATATTTCACATACTGATACGATGACATATATGTCAAAATATGATACATCGATGATGGAATAAAAAATTTCATTATAAAAGTAAACAGTTTTTAATTATGATTAGAATTCTTCCTTGACATATCTTTTTTTTCAAAATTTTATAGTGTTCTTCTTG